CAAAATGAATCAATCTGTGTGTTTTTTACCTATAATTTTCATGTATTATTTCATGTAAACTCCAATGAAAGTGCATTGTTACTTAAATGGCTTCAAAGACACTCTTTTTAAGCTCTTACGCTTATAAGGTACCCTAGGATCTGCACAGGCCTTAGGCAATGTAAAATACTTTATTGTACTTTTAAATGCTGACATATAAGTTCATTGTAGAAAGTGGTCTATTTTTAGTCTCAAGAGAAATTCAAACCCACTTCTCTAAAAGAAATTTGGGGCATAAACACTCATGTAAAATAGCCTGTGAAACAGCTCCCAGTGTTTATAATAGAATGTGACGCTCCGTTGCAATCTCCACGGAAAGCTTCAAATACATCTTGGCTCAAACCTTTTCAGACCAAGGTCACTTATTTTTTGATGAGTCAGAAGACCATGTTGATGGATGAAACTGGTGAAGCATTGACATTTGGATGGTTAGCCAGTTTACTCCTCTCACCACCAAGACAATGCCAATGTGTTTTGTAATCTCAAAATAACCCCTTGACTAGATGACAATTGAGGGAGTGGGTAATCTCACCACTCGTTTGTGTAGTTGAACACTTCTGTCTTATGTAATCAGCTCAGTTTATACAAATCTCAATGTAGTTTTGAAGTATTTTGCCCAGGTGCTGTTATTGTTTCAAGACCACTGTCATCATTTTCAGTCCTTTTTTTCATTACCTTCCTAACTCTCCTTGTCACTGTGATTTAGTTCAGTTTATTTAGATGTTCCTCTGTTGTAAACTTAATGGGGGATGGGAGTGTGAGAGATAAGTTAGGATTGGCTGTCTGTGTTTTTGTAAATCTCAAGAGATTGCTACCAAGTCCCTTGGTTCATGGGACATGACTTTCTTCCCCCTTGTTCTGGGTCTTTTCCATGGTCAGCAAGAAATCAGTTGTTTTAAGACCAACATCCCTCTGGTCAGATTGCAGGCCATCTGTTTGGACATATAGTCACTCTTTGATGTTTTAACAATTTATCTTCTGTCCACTCTTGTCCCTGGATTCTCCCTGGACCTTTGGGAAACACGAGGATGGATTTTCCTGTGAGCTTCTCTTTTAGTGACAGATAATTTAACCTGATTAGAAAATTCCAATTTATTTGTGAACAGGACCTGGTAGTGTTGTTTCTCCTATGAGGTCTGCATCCCGGATTAATTCCTAGCTGACTCCTTCTCTTAATGCCATCTTGTGGAAAAACTATTCTGGACCAGGTAGGAAAGTGTCATTTATGCTTTATTACTTTTTAAAAAATGGTGGAAGTCCTGGCTGGGTGGTTCAGTTGATTGGCCCATCATCCTATACACCAGAAGGTTGTGGGTTCAATTCTAGTCAAAGCACATACCTGGGTTGTGGGTTCAATCCGTGCTCAGGGTCTTATGGGAGGCAGCTGATCAGTGTTTTCTGTCCTCTCTCTCTCTTTCTCTTTCTCTCTCTCTCTCTCTCTCTCTCTCTCTCTCAAATCAATAAAAACATATCCTCAGTTGCCGATTTAAAAAAATGTGGCAAAATATATGACATAAATGTTATCATTCTAACCACTTCTGAGTGTACAGATCAGTGGCATTTAGTCCATTCATATTGTTGTACAGCCCTCCATCTCTCGAACTTACTCATCTTTCCAAGCTGTGCTCATTAAACAATGACTTTCCATCCCTTGCTCTCCACAGCTGCTGGCATTCTGCATTCTCTCAATGAATTTGATTACTAGGTACTTCATATAAATGGAATCCTCCAATGTTTACACTTTCGTATCATTTACTTCATTTAGCATAATGTCTTTAAAGCTTATCCATATTGTGGCATTTGTGAGGCTGTTGTTCCTTTGTCAAGCTGGATAATATTCCATTGTTAGCATATTACATAATTTTATTTATCTCTTCATACACTAATGGACATTTGGTTTGCTTCTACCTTTTGGCTGTTGTAAATAATGCTACTGTGAACATTGGTGTATAACTATATTTTTGAGTTCCTGCTTTCACATGTTTAGGGTATATACTCGGAAGTGGAAGTGTTATATCATCTGATAATTCTATGTTTAATTTCTTGAGGAACCGCCATACTGTTTTCCACAGAGGTTCTGCTTTATTCTTGACCTCTGTCACAGTTGCATCCCTGTTTTCAGGACTGAGGAGGTGACATTAGAGGGGAGATGGACTGAAGGGCTTCTACTCTCTCAGGGAGCTTTTTGTTTAGGAGGATCTTTAAAAAAAATAATGAATGATTCCTAGGCAAAAAAATTCTCTTTCACCTCATGTTAATAATGTCCTGAAGTATAAACATGGCCTCACTAACACTGAGCTTTTTTTTTTTTATAGACAGCTTTTTTTTTTTTAGACAGTACATTTCCCCCTTTTTTATTCATATCTTAGTTATATTCTTTTTGCTAGAATCTTCTTATTTAACCTGTATCTGAGATAAATATAGTATCTGATAGCTAGTTTTATAGCTAAAAAATGCCTTACTGTTTCTTAGAGCCAGCTTGGTGTAAACCATTTATTCTTTTTTATAAATCTTTATTGTTCGTATTATTACAAATGTTCCTCATTTTTTCTCCCTCCATTACTCCCCTTCACCAGGTTCCCACCCCACCCTCTGCCCTTTCCCCACCCCCCATTGTCCTCATCCATAGGTGCATAGTTTATGTTCAGTCTCTTCCCGCAACCCCACTCCCCTTTTCCCCAAGAATCGTCAGTCCACTCCCCTTCCATACCTCTGATTCTATTATATTTACTAGTTAATATTGTTCATCAGATTTTTTTTAATTCCCTTGGTTTTTAGATTCACTTGTTGATAGTTACGTATTTGTTGTTCATAATTTTTATCTTTATTTTCTTCCTCTTTCTAAAGAACCCCTTTCAGCAATTCATATAATTCTGGTTTGGCGGTGATGAACTCCTTTAGCTTTTTTTTTAATTAGTGAAACAATGAAAGCACACTGCTACTCTGAATACATTATCTGGCCTTCGATTCTGAGTGATAGCTTTGTTGGGTAGAGTATTTTAGGCTGTTGGGTAGAGTATCTTGCTATTCATCACCTTGAATATTTCTTGCCATTCCCATCTGGCCTGCATGGAATTCAGCTTTTTGTTAATAATGTGACAAGGGCTGTTAGATAGCAGAATCAAACAGGTCCTGTTCTAGCTCCTCCCACAAGATGCTTCACGAGGAACAGAAGATTCACAAGTTTGTCTCAATATGGACTTTTCAGCTCTAAGATAGCCAAGCAGTGAGAACCAAGTTTGCCCTGGGACATGACAGTGAGGCCAGCTGCTGGGACACAGTTAGTTTCCAGCAGCATGAGCCTGCCGAGTGAACTCACTGAAACGTGCATCCCAGGTGATGCCACGGTATTACCTCGTCCAGCTCCCCATCCCCAAGTCCACCAACCTCACCCCCGAAGGTTCCGGGTTGCTGCCTGCCTTGTACACACAAAACCCAAGAACAGTCCTGTTCTCCATAACTTTCCAAATGGTTGATCTGTGTCAGCTACTCTAACAGGACTTGCACAATGAGCTTCAAAAGTGGTGTCCACCCTCAACTATAAGCCAACTATGTTGCCTGTTTTTCCATCAAATGTGCATGCTTGCTTCCTATTTGGCTGCTTGGGGCTGAGCTCCCTGCAGTTCAGTTCTCAGGAAAAGCTTGTTTAGAGAAACAGAAGATTCCTGAAGATATGCAGTCCTATTCTTCTTAGAAACTCCCTACATTTATCTATCCCTGGATTAAGCAGGACTATCTACAAAGGGATTCTTGGCTGCTGTCCTGAACCCTCATGGGACACTCACGTCTTCACTCAGGGCTGCCTCCTCTGCGTAATGTAGCCCTCATCCCACCACGCTCACTGTCATACAGTTCATCCATTGTACATGCCACGTACCCTTTTTAAAGCCCCACCAAACATGTGGCTCCCTGGCTGCGCTGGTAGACGCAGCTGTTCTTTGGGCACGTGGTTTGTGTGATCCTGTGGGCCATGTGAACCACCCCGTCGTGGCCCCTGGGAAGCTGGGAGACAGGGCAGCAGTCGGCTAGGTGTTAACCTCTCCTTTTTCTTTTCCTCATTGCCTCACTTACTTTAGGTTGTTGAATTATCTGACTTTTTTGTAAGCTACTCAGCTCTTTTAAGGAACAAATTGGAAGTAATAACATGAACCGGGTATTTGTAGTTGCTCTGAATGCTCAGAGGACAAAATTATTAATTTTCATGGAACTGGAATGTGATCAATATAGTTGGCATTAAAACCTCTACTGATCTTGGGGGCTGGGTGGAGATAGACAAAGGGGATGAAAATGGGGGACATCTGTAATAGTGCCAACAATGAAAGCACACTGCTACTCTGAATACAGAAAACGGGGGACTCACTCTAGCCGGTTTGTGGATAGTGTCGACCTGGGTCCCTTCAATGAATAGTGTTGGCTCAGTGGATGGTGTCAACCTGGGACCTTCGGTCAAGGACATGTACCTCCATTGCAAGCTCCTCCCCGGCCCAGTTCCTGACCAGGGTTCAAATAGGAGGCAACCAACCAATGTGTTTCTCTCACATTGATGTTTCTCTCTGTCTTTCCCTCTCTCTTCCACTCTCTCTGAAAATCAATGGAAAAAATGTCCTTGGGTGAGGATTAAAAAAAAAAAAAAAAAAAAAAAAAAAAAGAATGGGGACATCTGTAATAGTGTCAGCAATAAAAGCACTCTACTCTTCTGAATACAGACTGGCTACACTGTAAGTTCTGTGCTGCCAGGGCCTTGGCTGGCTGCCCATTCTGACACTCCAGGGGCTAGCTCTGTACTTGGCACACAGGGATGCTCAGTACACATGCCCGGTGCGGCCTGCACAAGCAGGATCTGGGCACCTAAGGTTCCCACCACCCCGGCGTGGGTGCTCAGAGGCAGAGGAGCCTCCACCTGTCACACCTGCGGGGACACAGCCAGCGCCTCTAACGTTCTCCTGTCTCCCTCTTTGCAGACTCACATTTCCAGACTCCCTCCCGGTGCGGTGGCAGGACAGTCCGTGGCCATCGAAGGTGGGGTGTGCCGCTTGCAGAGCCCAGTGAACTGAATCTTCAGGCTGAGCATGAAGCACCTGAGGGCATTCCAGAGCCTGAGCTCTCCGTATTTTTAACTGAAGTTGGATGTCCTGTCCTATCGTCTTCATTTTATAACTCCTATTGCAGCCTCGCACACCGCTGGTGACATTAGTGCTGCTGCAAGAGTGCTAGTGACATGCCGGCCTTCGGTGGGCGGGTGCGTGTGCGCGTGCGTGTGTGTGTGTGTGTGTGTGTGTGTGTGTGTGTGTGTGTGTGTATGAGTGCAGTGTGAGTGCTTGCGTCTCCCCGATGAAATAGAAACTCCCCCATATTGCATAACCTAAGACCAGGAATGAGTCAATCATATTTACAAAATGTGTGCTTTAACTGTTTACAAGTCAAACCTAAAGTTGCAGGAAACATTTTTTATTTCGTAAAGAGGTACCAACTGTCGTTAATGTGATGTGTCTGAATTGAAGGGTAAATCTGCTCGTTTAAATGACTTGACAGTGGTAGTGCTCCATTTAGCAACAGTAATAAGTGATAAAGTGTTTTTATTTGTTAACCAGTTTAAGTGGATCCTGTGGTGACTTAAACTGTTATTTTCATCCCTCATATGGGGCATTTTTCTTTAACAAAGAATGGTTTCAGTGAAACAATCTAGCAGAGAGTCAAGGTCAAAACCTTTTAAAATAATAGTCTTATTGACAAAGTTTGTACTTCTTCCCTCAAGCCTTTCTAAATGCAATAGCTTCGAGCTGTGTGTACTGTATTATGAAAGGATATGTAAAGAAACCATACGGTAATGCACAGTTATTAATTTGTGTATAATGAAATGTTATTTACAATGTAACACTGTAAATAAGAAAGCAAAATTTATGGGAAAATTCAATATTATCTTTGTTTCTTGTTTAAATATATTTTTAAGGTAAAGGCACAAAAATAAAAGAAGCATATTACTGGGTATAGTGTGTGACTCCTCTTCTCAGACTAATAAATTACCTTTGAATCCTAGGTCGGCGAGCCATTTTTTATTTTGTTTATGAAACACTACTTCTTCCAAAAAATCATACCGGTAGCCTTCTTGCTGGGATTGCTCAAAATCCAGACTTATGTTTGTGCAATAAGTGGGGTGGGGCACCAGCAAGGTAAAAGTTAAACTCAGTGCATGATTGAATGGTCACTATAGAACTCCCTGAAATTTATGTTCCAACTTGATAAAAGTAACAAAAGAAAGGAATAAGAGCACTTTGAAAAACTGTAGTGGCAGTTGAAAACCTACGGTTATAGTCGATAAATTGCTTCTGAATGTTATATTTAGTGATTCTGGAGCCACATAAGAAAACCAAGACTTTCCTTTTGATTTTCTGTGTAAGAAGTGGCTATCAAGAAGATACTAAAGATAGCCTTGCTCAGGGGCAGGACGTGCCCTGCACCCTGTAATCATGGCTCTGGGCGGTAACTGATAAAGCCCCAGATGAAATTATACACTTGACATCGATGTATGGCCAAATTAGAAAGGAAAGACAACCGAAATGGAGTGGGTGTAAATACGACTGATTCGGGAGTCGCTGCCCTATATTCCTCACACAGGCAATTACATTTGTCTCGCTGTGTTCTCTAGACAGGTTGGTGCCGTGGTATCTGTTTCTCATTCTTAATGAGGCTGAGAACCTAGTGAGAGATGGGCTGGCTGCTGGGGAGCCTTTGGCTTCAAAAGCTTCCAAAGACCTGTTACCTGTTGGCAGGGTTTTTTTTTTTTTAGGAACTGGACTGGATCACGTAAAACTATCAGGACACTTTGGAGTCTGAAAATCATCTGACCTATTTCACCAGGAATGCCATGTCTTTCATCTCCTTTTGCCTTTATTCCATTCATATTTAAAAGCTTGGGCTTGTTAAAGGCCCCTTTTTATGAAGAGTTTAAAAAGTGGTCAATACAAAGATCATGGCCCCATAACAGTTGTTAAGACTTTATTCTCCAGTGTCTTTTTTTTTTTTTTTTTTTTTTTTTTAAGGAATATTGTGAAACGAGAGAGAAAAAAAGTGATATTCAGAAACATAATGGAAAATTCAAAGGAAGTGTAAGTTCCTCCATTAGAAGAAGATCAGACATTGAAGAGCAGGTTCTGTTACCAGAGGATGCTGTCAAATAGAAAAGCAACTTCATTTCACACCAAAGGAAAAAAGATAGAAGCAGAAGAGAACATAACCTCCTGTTCCAGTCTGGCTTGTGGTGGTAGATTCTGAAGTTATATTTGAAGATGCCCACTTTTAATATGGAGGATCTTTTTAAGTCCTGAACATTGGGTGCATGGTTCTCTTAAGTATAATTAAGTCTGTTCTGGATCCCTCAAGATCATGGCCATGACCCTGCTTAGGGTTTGGAAGCGGGTGAAGAGGCACAAGGAACCTGGGTGCCGGTGCTGATAACACAGGTGGCAGCCTGGAACAGGCTTTGTCCTCTCCTGTCAGGTCTGCCTCTTCTACCTGCTGGATGTCTGCCTCTGAGGCCCTGTCTCAGCTTTTAATGGCCACTTCTCAATGTGAACTTGAACTCAGATATCAACATGAAAACTCTGCACTTATAAACAAGTCCTAAACGCTAGTCTGTGAGCAAATGGAAGAGTTTTAGTTCAGGGATAGGGGGACATCTCTCTTGTCTGCTTTGCACCTAATTTCTTGTATCCTGGGTGTGAGTGGGGATGTTATGTACCACTTACCTGCAGCTAAGCAGGGCAACTCTGAAGCATTGGATGGAGGGTGTGAAGGAGGAATGGAGGGAGTGAAGAAGGGAAGATTTAGAAGAGTGTTAGAATTATTTTTGAAACTCGAGATTATACAGAATATTTTTTAATCTGGTCACTATTATTATAGAAGTAATTAATGCTTATTATAAGGATTCAGCAAATAGGTAAGAAAAAAAGAGGACCCATAACCTCACTTCCCTAAAGACAGCAATTGATAACACATAGATTCTTTATGCATACATTTTCTCTCTCTCTCTCTGTGTGTGTGTGTGTGTGTTAACACAAAAACGGGGTTAATATCGAACCCTCAAATGGAGTTCCATAACCTGCAGTGTTCACCTAACTTCATAGAAAACTGTCTGGACCTATAGTCATATAATGCCTCACTTACTACTTCATCCAGTGCTGGCTCCACTAATGCTGTTGAATACATATATTTTATCCTAAAACTTTGGTGAAAATCCATCACAGTCCTGACAGTACAGTCAGCATCCACACTTTCAGGCCACAGGTTCATACAGCGAGCACTGTGGAAGATCATAGCCAGTGAAAGCCAGCTTGCCAGGTTTCCCAGAATAGCCCACAGTCCCAGCCTATAAGTCTGTTTCAGAGGGCCCCGGACAACTTTTAGGCTAATATCTGCACCCCTGTGTCTTTTATTTGTTTATTTATTGCTATAGCAGGCCAGGAGTACTATAGAATCAGCACTTCCAAGAAGAAGCTTTCAACAATCATAGAGGTTGGTGTATAAAAATATTACTTCCTCCCGGCTAGTGTTGCTCAATGGTTGGAGCATCAGCTATCACGCTGAAGGCTCTTGGGTTTGATTCCTGGTCAAGGGTTGGGGTGGGTGAGGGAGACAGCTGATGGATATGACTCTCTTGCATCTCTCTCTCTCTCTCTCTCTCTCTCTCTCTCTCTAACTCTTCCTTCTTCCCTCCCTCCCGCTCTTTCTAAAAATCAATGGAAAACTATCTTTGGCCCACTTGATGTGGCTTGGTGGTTGAGCGTCGACCTGTGCACTAGGAGGTCACAGTTCAATTCCCGATCAGCACATGCCTGGGTTGCAGGCTTGATCCCAGTGGGGGATGTTCAGCAGGCAGCCAATCAATGATTCTCTCTCATAATTGGTGATTCTCTCTCTTCCTCTTCTTTCCTCTCTGAAATCAAAATATGTTTTTAGCATTATCCCTAGGTAAGAATTAAAACAGAAACAATAAGATTTTGCTCCCTTGCCCTAGCCAGTTTGGCTCAGTGGATAGAATGTCAGCCTGCAGAATGAAGGGTCCCGGTTCAATTCTGGTCAAGGGCACATGCCAGGGGTATGTGCTTGATCCCATTGTGGGATGTGCAGGAGGCAGCTGATCAGTGATTCTCTCTCATCATTGATGTTTCTATCCCCTCTCCTTTCCTCTCTGAAATCAATAAAAACATTTTAAAAATTATATTGCTTCCTTGCTCCATGAGTGAGATCATTCTGAGACTTGTGTGCCATACAGTTTTGGGGAGACTTCCCACAGAATTAAGTTTTAGTAACCTGCTATAGTAGCTGACTTATTAATATACCTTGTATTTGCTTTCCCCCCTTCCATATGCCCTTCTTACCTCCCTTACCTGGGTTTCCTGCAATCATCTACCAAATGAACGCTTTGTACTTCACTCCTTGTTTTAGGGTGCTTCTAGGGACTTAAAACTAAGGAACTTTCCATCCCATATACTATTGCCCACAAGGCCATGGTGGGCCTTTATACCCTCTCTACAGAGGGTGAGTCCCTCCATATGCTTATGTACCCCACTGGGGTCTTTCTTCCTGTCTTGTGTCCTTGATGAACCATTTTCATCCATGACATCTGATGAACATTCTTCAAAGGAAAAGGCCCGATGGGTCACAAAAGTGGAGGTTTACAAGTCAGTATTGACAGGCACCAGACTGCTGGAGACAAGAACTTTGAGAGAGGGAGTGAATAAACAGGCTGGACAGCAGCAATCCACCAAGGATTGATGGACGCCTTAGAGGAAATGACCTAGAATTGTGGGAATGGTAGTTGGAAGAAACCATAGCCAATGGCATGTCATGACCAAAAGATCTGCAGAGACCAGAACAGTGGCTGCCATTGTCCCCACGCCATGAACACATGATGACCACACTGTGAAAACCTCATGGGCTGCCATGTCTTGAATGTCATCTCAAGCCTGGATACCCATGACATCATTTTATGGTTCAAAATTTTTAACACCTCCCAACATTTTCAAAAACAAAATGTTAAGTCAAACACATCAAC